AACCTGAGTGAGGAAATTCGAATAGTTTTGGCCCAGAAATCGAAATTTGAATATCAGACACTTAGGTGCAAGATTATGCCAAAATTCCATGTTTTTCGTCCCGTTTTTGCTCATTTCTCGGAGGCAAAATGAGCAAGAACGCCCATTTGTACATCATTCTAGACAGAAATAAATGGCCTTTTCAGAAAGTGAACCATGGATGGGGAAATGTTGGACGTTTTCTCAAAAAATGCTTGAATTCAAGAAGTTTTAGATTTGCGTGTTTTTCTTTGTGTTGCAAAATCCACTTGATCTTGACTGGATCCGCCCTTGAGAAGAGTGCCATCCACACACCGACACCAGATCAAGCTAACACAGTTACTATTTTTTATGTCTTTCGTTCATTCCATTGGACAACACCCGCAGATAGCTGATGCCAATTTTCACTATATGAACACCCTATTATCTTACCAAAACAGGAGTATCTTCCGGTACATTTACGTGAACGGGTCCATCAAATCCATGAAATTCGTCGTCAATATCCACTGAAAAATCGGCTTTTTCCATTTTTTTGAAATAGGGCAAACATTCTTCGTACGCCCATCCATCGTTCCCCAGTTCCACCCATTTTTCGTAGTTTTCCGCGCTTCCTCGCGTGTTCACCGCCCCGTTTAATGTGCTCGAACCTCCCAACACTTTACCTCTGGCATATGGTTTCGTTTTGTTGATATAAGCTAAATAAATTCAAATATTACGCAGAGTGCTCAATAACTACCTGCTGAATTTGCATTGAAAATCATTGTAGTATCAACTTTTTGACGGCATTTAATAGCTGATATCAACCCTAGAACATACCCAGCAAGCTGTTTGCTTGCGGAGTGGTATAGTATCCCCAATCATAGCTCGATTGTTGCATATAGCTTAGTATCCCAAGTATCTTAGATATGAGCGGATCTTCTGATCCCGCTTCCACCAATAAAACAGTAACATTTTCAAGTTCCGTTAGTCGATTGACTAGAACTCCACCAGCTGAACCGGAGCCCACAATTATAAAGTCGTATGTCCCATAATCTAAAATTGATATTGTTCTATCAAAAGAGATAGATTTTCGAGGCCATTCCTTGAAACTAATGGGTTTTTCGGGTTTTTAGACCGTCGTTCGGTAGAATTTCTTCTTGACGTTTCGCAAGCACGAGTGGCTTGCATCTTCAGAAGTGGTTTGCTTGAACGCTTACACTGTTCTCATCAGAACCCGCGTTCAGTTCTGCGRAAGAAGTAATGTTGGAATGTTTTCTTGACGTTTCGCAAGCACGAGTGGCTTGCATCTTCAGAAGTGGTTTGCTTGAACGCTTACACTGTTCTCATCAGAACCCGCGTTCAGTTCTTCCGCAGAACTGAACGGGTTCTGATGAGAACAGTGTAAGCGTTCAAGCAAACCACTTCTGAAGATGCAAGCCACTCGTGCTTGCGAAACGTCAAGAAGAAATTCTACCGAACGACGGCCTAAAAACCCGAAAAACCCTATTAGTGATATTGTTCTGCTTATCAATGTTTTGAAAATGTGCACTTAATCGATTGAAGGCTTAATCCGAGAGATCCTTCAAAGTTTACAAGATTTGCAGGCATTTTAAAACACTATTCAAACAAGCACTCATCTTACCTAAAGGAACATCGGAATCGGTTCCATTTCCGAAAAATGCGGCATTATCAATCGGTGGCACATAAGTGTCGGTACTATTTATAAAACTCAATATTTCCGAAGCGAATTGATCGAAATTGGAATCTTCAGAGGAACTCACAGGAACATAGCACGCAATAAATAATAAAGTATATAACAATCGACACCGTACCATCGTCAACTCCATCTTAAAAACTTGTGGTGTTTAAAAAACTGCTCATATATATAAGCTTTTTTGTACACATACATAGGATTTACATGTGTTTGCATTTAGGTTTAGAAACAATTTATTTCATTCTCGCTTAGTATTTGCGATGTGAACTACTACGCGAGTTTGGTATGAGTGTTTACTCAAAGTTAATCCTAACTTAATTAGAAAGTATGTAAGTTTTTTTTGTTTTGGGAACAAACGACCATAAAATCCTACCTTTGTTCATAGGACTTTAATATTTAGGCATTTTAATCAAGAAAACAATAGTTATATCATTGTATCTACGTCAAGCTTTAAAAAATCATGCGGTCGTTTATCCGGTTCTTAAGAATATCAAATATCACAGTTACATTTTCCAACCATCCTTAGTGAGCTAAAAATTTTTAAAATTTAGGTCATTGGCTGTTTGGTCGTTGAATTGTATAAATAGTTGGAGAATTTTATTTAAAAAAAAACGATGCAAATCTGGAAGAGAAATATTCTTGCTCATGGGAGCCTGAATTAATTTTTAATCGAACTTTTCAACATTGCACGCACACGAAACATTAGAACTTGTTTATACCCTCAAAACAATCTGTGAAGATTTTCTTGCACATTCTCATAACAGCTCATTTTTCCAAATTTCTGAGACTGTGTTTCCTGCTTGAAAATTCCCATCTCAATGATCCCATGATCGATGTTATTCATTTATTATAAATTCACTATCGTCATGCACCTCCTTGTTTATTGCGGTTAATTAGAAATATTTATCCTTTATTTGGTTCGGTGTCCTCTTCAACACCAGTTCAAAGACCTTATACAGGCTAATATACAGGTATTTCTGTTGCGTCCTGCTTGTTCGTACAGTAAACAACATGTCATCGGATATGCTGTTGAAAAGCATTTTACTGCAGTGTATCGGTGGTTTTGTTATTGTTTTATGCGATGGAAAACCTATATCAGGTGAGTTCAGATTTAAACTGTATTTTTCTGTAAGTCTACTACGATAAAATAGGCTCACGTGTTCAATGAGAATTTACCGAAAAAAACCAATTGAACAATGAAAGTTAATTTGAAATCACAGATTTTATTTCAATAAATGCAAAACATTGTCGAGGAATTTGCCACAACTGTACCATTTGAGTGAACATTTTACAGCTCGATAATTGATTCAAAACAAAAACATTCTAGATGAACTTTGCATATGATCTGACAAGATTTGTATACTTAATTAAAAATTCAGTTTTGCCGTTAACCGTTATCAAACAAACGTCGAATTTTGCAGATTTTCCTCTAACGTCGAGCAGCGGCGCGACAGAAAACAGTGAAAACCTCCAAGTTCCCACCATTGGCAAACTGCAAAATCTTTTAGATAAAGGCATTTTGCAGGAATTATTCGATTCAGGCAATTTGGCAAGTTCCGATCAAAAAATAGAGAATCCAATTGACTTTTTGATTATAAAACCATGTCTGAGTGATCGAATTCAGGAATCGAGTTTCGAACCAT